GACTCAAGTGGACTCGGGAATAAGTCCGATTCCTAATATGTTCGAGTACGAGTCAATACCAAGTCAAAATGCACACGAGTCCATGACAAGACCAAGACCATTAAAATATGGTCTCGAGACCAAGTCCGAGTCTCGAGTACTACAACACTGCATATTACATATTACAAGCATACTACCCACAACCAGTCTAAGCATTTGCAGAAATAATAATGCACTAACATCTAAGATTATCTATAATTATCAAATTTTTTTTATTGATATTGCGACTTAATATGCTATTTTTTTAAACTCTTTATCTTCTGTATTATTCAACAAAGACAAGCAATAAAGCATTGTATAATATGGGTGGTAATCTTTAGTCACCTCATGATCCAATTCAATTCTGAATTTGGGAGCCACTTAATCTTATTAATAAAAACTTGAAAAATTTTGTTTTTATTGAATTACATATGTATTTATGAGAACCTTTTAAAATAATTACACTTTAAAAATTAAATTTTACACTTTAAATTACACTTTTAAATTTTCAATAGCCTAATATAGCTTCAAAACATAAAAGCTAGTAAATATTAAAGAGGAACAAAAACATATTACAAGCAATAAACAAATAGTGCTTTCAGAGTATATCTGAACATTTTCCTTTCAAGACTTGTGAGTGTTTTTTCTCTTTCTCGATTTAACTGTTGTTTTATTATTACTGATGACATCATAGACAGCGGGAGATCCAATAAGCTGCGTTCACACCAATGCACAGATCTATTGTGAAATACAAGGTGTGGTTTGTCCTGTCTGTTTAATTCCTTAAGACATAACTGACTGCGTTTACATAAATTCTGCGTCATAAAAGCATTTTGAGACCACATTTAACCATTTACACGGAGTCGTGCACAGCTGCATGGGCGAGCTTACATGTATTTGAAATTGAAAGCAGCCTTCGGCCAGTGAGTTTCATATTTTTAATATATAGGCCACTGCATTCCATACGACATAAATTATGCTTTGTAGAGCAAGGAAATATCGGTGGGCGAGACCGTGCACTGCAAATCGGCCATGAAAATCATGATCAGTGAATCACTAGTTTTTGTATAATAATATTTGTACCAATACTTGAAAAAATATGACTTCTCTTTTAAGATATATTAGTCTCATTTCCTGAGAACTAATAGATCATATTCGACAACATGAACAAATTCACAAATCTTGAAATTAGATTTTTCCATAATTTTTAACACCTACAGCAATAGTAGTAGAATGGCACTTTAATACTGACCGCCTTTTTGGCTTTTTCTTTGGAATGTCATCCACATCTTCTTCCTCTGCTGTTTGAAGGTCAGTTTGGGTTTCCGCTTGAGGAAGTTTTAGACGAGCAGCTTTGTAGGTTGCTGTAAAGAAATATCATTCGATTTTTTTTTTTAAACTAGTGAAGCCTATTAGTAAATAATAATATGTGATGTGCATACCAGCTGTATATAAAATTCGAACACAATATGTGTCCCACATGTGTCCAGGTTGCTCCTCACTTCGTATGGCGTTTACTAAATCATCAGGTCTGTAGTGAGCTGGCCATTGACACATTTCTTCTTTAATATGAAAATGTGCACAAGTGGAATTAAATTAAAATAATCAAAACTGAGAAAGGCCTACCAGTTGTTGTACAGTTCACCCAGCTCTTCTTTTTGGGGTGAGGTACTGAAGAAAAATAAATGAATAAAAATGATTTTATAATTACTTTAATTGTTTACTTGTAAACTTCTTTCACATGCTCAGGTTCATACCTTCATCAGAGCTGCTGACACACACTGGTCGTTGTTTCCTCTTGGGAACGTCATCAGAGCTCTCCACAGAAGACTGCACAGCTGCTCTTTTGGACCACTTTTTACAACCAAAGTTTTCTGCATCACTTGCTATGTGCAGCATGGTATGGGTGTTGTACACGAGGAACTCCTGTCCATAGAGTGTCCTACCTTTTTCCACAAAGTATTGCAGCAGTTCATTGGGATATTTGGAAAGTTCCTGCACAAGACTTGGACATACTAGGATTGCTATGGCCACACTGAAAGAAAGGAAGTGTAAGTACAGGTCATCTGGCAGTATTCCCTTTAACACAATCTTACCTGTGTATAAAAGGAACTGACGAAACTCGGTTGCTTTCCACCTGTCCAGCTCCTCAAGACCCCTAGGCTTTCGCACAAATGTAGCTGGTATGCAGTATTTATCAAGTTGGAAGTTTTGTTAAAATTATTACGGTTAGCACATTTAACTAAAACTAAGGAAATTAATTGCCTTGAAATAAAAGAAAAAACTCAGAAGAGGCAGCAGTGGAGGATGATCTAAAATTATAGAAATCATAGAATATTACTTAGAATTGTTGAACGACAATACAGGCCTTAGCAAATTTTGCATGTTGCTTATAAAGTTAATAATATTTGCAGCATACGTCAAGTAAAACCCTAAGAATGTGCCTTACAGTTAAAACAAGAAAAGCGCTAGGAAGGATGTCAATCATCTGTTTGCAGACAAGGAAAAGAGAAAGGGACTGTTGAATGACTACGGTAAGTGTACCCATTAAGCCCATTAAGTCTCAGTTTTTTTCATAGATATAGACATGGTTTATAAGAAAAATAATTAGTTAAAATGCAAGATTTATCTCTCATTTGAAAATGTATTAATTAGTAGATGCACATTTTAGAATATAAAATTAAGATATTTTATGAATAAAGTGAGAAGTCTGGCATGGGCTTAATTGGTACTTTTGGCACCATTTAAGCCCGCGTGTGTTCCAAATAAACTCACATCTTAAATGATTCACAAAATTATCTAAACCGTCTATATTAGGGATGCTCCGATCAGGATTTTTGCAGCCGATACCGATTGCCTATTTCTTGTCATGGTGATCGGCCGATACCGATCCCGATACCGATGCCTAATATAAGACAAAGATAAATACAAACAAAATGGAGCAGTCTGATGCAGCCCACAAGGTTTAATTAAACATTGTCCAATAGTAAACTTTGGAGGACAAAATAAACATTTAAATACCTAAAATAGAGAGTCTGATGTAACTTAAACCTGGTCTAATACAAGTCTAAGCAGGACAAAATTAATTTAATTAGATTAATTATTAATTTAATTAGAACAAATTGGGAGTAGTTTGATGCTACTCATTAGAAGGGATGGGCATTTCAAGCTAAAATAATATTCGAAGATCTGGGTATTATTCGCTTATTATTCAAAAATCGCACCCCTCCCCCATATGCACGCACACAATATAGGCCACACACATGAGAAAAGCGGAGTGGTGTGATGTTTAAATATAACTTAAAAACATAAATATACGTTTCATATTTATGTTTTATAGTAAGCTAATATAGTGTTCTTTTAAAAAAAAAAAGTCATATATGTTGATTATATTAAAAGGGAACCGCAAGAGATGAGTAAGATAGGATCATAAGATGCCCAATATATCGGAAAACATTTGGAATGGGTCAGACATGATTTTGACCACTTAATTCAGTTTTGTTTTGTAGAAAGCCATTCTTTAAAGTGAATTTCGTTTTGTAAAAATTGTATCTTAATTTCAAACTATGTTTCATCAACCATTTGCCTGGATTTAATAAATAATAAGCGAAATATAGCAGACAATATAATCAGGACACGGACACGCCGGCGCGTGAACTGGAGCGTGTCTCATAAATGAACCGAACCTCAACTTGCCTCAAATACCTGATAACGTATAGTTTAGGCTTGAAATGTCTACTTAAAAAAAAAAAAAAAAACTATTTAAATCGATAATAAATGGGCAACTCTCTGCTTAGGCTAATCCGTATGAAGTGTGCATTTCTCTCTAAAAGCGCGTTCACTGTGCGAAGATGGCGTCAACATCGCCAACTGTATCTTTGCAGTTTATTAATAAACAATTAAAATGTATCATGCTGCATAAACATTACTTTTGCCGGTTCTTTGTGGCAAGCTTTATGCATGCGCTTGATATGCGGAATATAGGCAATATAGCCTATTATGATGATGCTCATTATGGTTTAGTATTTTCTCCCATATATATTTAATTAAATTAATATAGATATGCGATTAGACTAATGGCTTAAATGAACTACTACTAGTCGACTAGAAAAAAAATTAGTCGTGCACGGGCAGCCCAACTTATTTAACATATTTTCTAACCAGCATGTCACTGCGGGCGTTCTGAGCGAGTGGCGCTGTGGACTGAGCGAGCGAAGCATACTCTTCAGAAAGGCGCTCTCTCTGGAGGACAATGATCCTCTATGTGAGATTCCTTTGAAACATACACAGCAAATAGCAAATTTTTTTCATTGTTTCTCGACACATCATAGCAGCCTAATTCCACACCGGCGATGACATGACTGCCAAATCATTTAAGTCCCCACGCATCATATAGGCTACCTCCTCACGTTTTGACGTCATCAAATTGTGATCGGTTTGCGAGATCGGCCAAGTTGAGTGAGTACCGATCGAGTCATAAAATGTGATGATCGGCCGATACCGATCTCCGGCCGATCGATCGGAGCATCCCTAGTCTATATGTGTATCTAAACAGAGATATGTGTTTACCGGTAGTTTCTTTTTTTCAGCTTCATTCAATCTTTCCAGAGCCTGCTCTGAGGTCAGTGACTCACCATATTTTAAGATTGAGATTCTCTTTCTTTTCTTTGAAGGGACATTTTTCTTGGGCAGGAGGTGTTGTAGGAAAAACTCTTTCACGCCAGTGTTTGAGGTGGGAGAAGTGTTTGAAGAGGTGTTCTGGAAAGAGGATGATGCACTCTGGGGTCTAGCAATTTCAATGTTGGTGATGTTTAGTATGTTAGAACCAGGAATCGTCTCGACACTAAGGATGATCTGAGAGGCTGATTCATCATCACCTGCTGGCAAGACATGGAGACGTGGCTGCCGTTGATTGGCTCACTGATGCGACTGTAGGAACAGTAAATGGCACAGATGGCTGCACTGTTGGTGTGGTCAGTGGCATGTTTGGAGGTGTGGTCAGTGGCATGTTTGGAGGTGTGGTCAGTGGCATGTTGGGAGGTGTGGCAGTGGCATGTTTGGAGGTGTGGTCAGTGGCATGTTTGGAGGTGTGGTCAGTGGCATGTTTGGAGGTGTGGTCAGTGGCATGTTGGGAGGTGTGGCAGTGGCATGTTTGGAGGTGTGGTCAGTGGCATGTTTGGAGGTGTGGTCAGTGGCATGTTTGGAGGTGTGGTCAGTGGCATGTTGGGAGGTGTGGCAGTGGCATGTTTGGAGGTGTGGTCAGTGGCATGTTTGGAGGTGTGGTCAGTGGCATGTTTGGAGGTGTGGTCAGTGGCATGTTTGGAGGTGTGGTCAGTGGTATGTTTGGAGGTGTGGTCAGTGGCATGTTTGGAGGTGTGGTCAGTGGTATGTTTGGAGGTGTGGTCAGTGGTATGTTTGGAGGTGTGGTCAGTGGCATGTTTGGAGGTGTGGTCAGTGGCATGTTTGGAGGTGTGGTCAGTGGCATGTTTGGAGGTGTGGTCAGTGGCATGCTTGCAGGTGTGGTCAGTGGCATGTTTGGAGGTGTGGTCAGTGGCATGCTTGCAGGTGTGGTCAGTGGCATGTTTGGAGGTGTGGTCAGTGGCATGTTTGGAGGTGTGGTCAGTGGCATGTTTGGAGGTGTGGTCAGTGGCATGTTTGGAGGTGTGGTCAGTGGCATGTTTGGAGGTGTGGTCAGTGGCATGTTTGCAGGTGTGGTCAGTGGCATGTTTGGAGGTGTGGTCAGTGGCATGTTTGGAGGTGTGGTCAGTGGTATGTTTGGAGGTGTGGTCAGTGGCATGTTTGGAGGTGTGGTCAGTGGCATGTTTGGAGGTGTGGTCAGTGGCATGTTTGGAGGTGTGGTCAGTGGCATGTTTGTAGGTGTGGTCAGTGGCATGTTTGGAGGTGTGGTCAGTGGCATGTTTGGAGGTGTGGTCAGTGGCATGTTTGGAGGTGTGGTCAGTGGCATGCTTGGAGGTGTGGTCAGTGGCATGCTTGCAGGTGTGGTCAGTGGCATGTTTGGAGGTGTGGTCAGTGGCATGTTTGGAGGTGTGGTCAGTGGCATATTTGGAGGTGTGGTCAGTGGCATGTTTGCAGGTGTGGTCAGTGGCATGTTTGGAGGTGTGGTCAGTGGCATGTTTGCAGGTGTGGTCAGTGGCATGTTTGGAGGTGTGGTCAGTGGCATGTTTGCAGGTGTGGTCAGTGGCATGTTTGGAGGTGTGGTCAGTGGCATGTTTGGAGGTGTGGTCAGTGGTATGTTTGGAGGTGTGGTCAGTGGCATGTTTGGAGGTGTGGTCAGTGGCATGTTTGGAGGTGTGGTCAGTGGCATGTTTGGAGGTGTGGTCAGTGGCATGTTTGGAGGTGTGGTCAGTGGCATGTTTGGAGGTGTGGTCAGTGGCATGTTTGGAGGTGTGGTCAGTGGCATGTTTGGAGGTGTGGTCAGTGGCATATTTGGAGGTGTGGTCAGTGGCATGTTTGGAGGTGTGGTCAGTGGCATGCTTGCAGGTGTGGTCAGTGGCATGTTTGGAGGTGTGGTCAGTGGCATGTTTGGAGGTGTGGTCAGTGGCATATTTGGAGGTGTGGTCAGTGGCATGTCTGTAGGTGTGGTCAGTGGCATGTTGGGAGGTGTGGTCAGTGGCATGTTTGGAGGTGTGGTCAGTGACATGTTTGGAGGTGTGGTCAGTGGTATGTTTGGAGGTGTGGTCAGTGGCATGTTTGGAGGTGTGGTCAGTGGCATGTTTGGAGGTGTGGTCAGTGGCATGTTTGGGGGTGTGGTCAGTGGCATGTTTGGAGGTGTGGTCAGTGACATGTTTGGAGGTGTGGTCAGTGGTATGTTTGGAGGTGTGGTCAGTGGCATGTTTGGAGGTGTGGTCAGTGGCATGTTTGGAGGTGTGGTCAGTGGTATGTTTGGAGGTGTGGTCAGTGGCATGTTTGGAGGTGTGGTCAGTGGCATGTTTGGAGGTGTGGTCAGTGGCATGTTTGGAGGTGTGGTCAGTGACATGTTTGGAGGTGTGGTCAGTGGTATGTTTGGAGGTGTGGTCAGTGGCATGTTTGGAGGTGTGGTCAGTGGCATGTTTGGAGGTGTGGTCAGTGGCATGTTTGGGGGTGTGGTCAGTGGCATGTTTGGAGGTGTGGTCAGTGGATCTTCAGTATGCATAGCAAATGGTGTATCACTCTCCATCCCCACTAGTGCACACTGTGGGTTGAATGGATAAATGCCTTTGCTTTCAAATCCACCGATGATGTTTTTAGGCTTTAAGGCAACGTCCAACACATCTTTCAGCTTCTGAGGAAAATCTTCATTCCTGATTTTGTCTCTGCTGGCCCTGCCACTGTTTCTTTACTTCTCCAAACACTGCCTTATCCAAAGGCTGCAGATTGTGCATCAGGTGAGAGGGAAGACGAAGTAGCACACCATTATTTTATTTTGCCTTAACTCCAAGGCTCAGGGACACATGGGAGGTATGGTCATCAAATATTAAAATCTTAGGTGATGTCTGGTCTGATTGCCGAGCTGATTCATGCAGGAAAAGGTTTGTGAAGTAGTCTAAAAATACTATCTTTTCCATCCAGGTATCGGGAAGGGAAAAAGGGTATCGGAACATCTCTAATAGTAAGCATGTTATTGTTATATAAACTTTACATTGTAGCAACTAGTCAAACTGGTGCCAGACTAAAATGTACGTTATGAAATGAGATTGGAGTAAAAACATGAAGCCTAATGCTAAATGTATATACATGTACGACACAAGCAAAGTTCCCTCTAAGCTGCGCGCGGCCGCGCACTTCTGATGCCGCGGCCGCACAGAAAAGAATGAAATGTGTGGGGAAATCCATTTGATTGTAGTTTAAGTGAGAAATAATTTCAGTGCTCTGGTCAACCGCTATAGAGTGAAAACTGGTGAATGCAGTTTACAGGTTTCATAGAAAGAGAATGATGTGAGCGCGTGTGATTGGCAGTGAGTCGTGTGTGCGGACCAAATAGCTCAATACGAGAGGCAACGAGAAACGCAAAGACGTGAAATAAAATCACATCATAATGTTTTAACCTCTTACTGTTCCTATTGCCTAAGCATAGAATAACACAAAAACACTCTTATGTGTCAAGCCATCAGAACCGAACCGAAAACCGTGGTTAAAAAACCGAGGTATGTATTGAACCGTGGGCTAACTGTATTGTTGCATCCCTAGTCAGTACTATTCGTAATTCAAACCCATTTCAATGTCTGCTGTGATATCTTGTGCTTTTAACAGTGGGGGTTTTCCCGTGCCCTGACCAGTCCCTCCAGTTTTTCGCGATTCCGCGATCGCTGAATATAACGCAAAATCAACAAAATGACGCATTTTTTTGCAATCCTGTATAATTCCTAATTTAACCGCAAAATATATATATTTTTTTTGCGATCCTGCATAATTCCTAATTTAACTGCAAAATACTCACAAAAATGAAAAAGACCTCACAAAACATAAAATTATAATCACCCAATTGAAATATCTAGTTAATTAACGTTTCAATGCATTATACGGAGATACAGAAGTTGCGCACGCGTGATGTCTGTAAGCGGTCTGTCAGAAATATGGCGAAAGAAAATGTGTCTCACCTGCCCTCTCACATAAGCGCCAAGGACCGAGCTAAGCAATATCCTGATATATTGCACGAGAGTGGGGGCAGGCCCGCCCACAGAAATGACTGGGCCCATGAAAAGGTCCAGTGAATGGGCCCTCCCCAAATCTGCAATAGGCTACTCATTTCATGCGTGTGCTCTCTCTCTCCTATAACACATACATTTAACTGAGAGAGACTTACTCAGTGATGGGGTGTGTGTGTATAGTCACACACACACACACACACCCAGGGCTCTCAACGATTTATAATATATTTAATATGCCGCAGCGCCCAAAATGTCTCTGGCCGCGCCGCTCTCACTTTGGACCCGACAGGAATCAAGCGCGTCTCCCCTGTGTTGTTAGTCGAGCTACACAAAAGCCAATCAGAAAATAACACTATTGTATCTGGGTACGGTTTAACGCAACAACCAATGAAAAAAAAAGAAGAAAATTGTCATGAAACAACCCCATTCCCACGACCTGTCCAATATCTAATGGTGTGTTCACACCGAATGCGAATAGAGCGTCAAATGCGCGTCTATCGCGTCTAGTTAGACGCTTGAACATTCGCTCGAGTTCAAATTTTTCAACTTGCGCGGAAGACATTCGCGGCAAACGTGTCGCCCAATTCGCGTCAATTCTTAACGCCCGGCGCGAATGATGCGTCTATTCGCGTCTTTGCATTGACTTTGTATGTAATCTACTCGCGCAAATAATTAAATTCGCGTTCGGTGTGAACACACCATAAAGCTGCCACTCTGCATACGCTAATTCCATCCTACCTTCGATATGTTGTAGTAGTTTTAGCCGGACAGTGCACATGACAACTGCTGTAAATGACATGAAATATTCTCTCAGTCCTCGCGCATCTGATAAAGCCTCATTAGATAATTTACAGGACGATTTTAGGCAATCGATTGCTTCAATCACACTGGGGAGATGGTGAGCTATAGGTCTTACTTTTTCTTTTACTGTCTATGGTCTTACCGCGTCAATTCGCTCCATCGTGTGTCACTCACTTGCGCTGCTGACCGCGAACTGGCGTGAAGCACTGGCGTTTTGACTTTGCGTTACGTACAACAAAAAATAGCCTACTCAGACCATTTTCAGGAGAGCGGTGTTTCTTTATGGCACAGGCTACATTTTACTCAAGCAACATTAAATAAAATGCATTTTTTTCTCACTTTCAACAATAAATGGCGCTGTTTTGGTTAAAAATAAAATATGATAACATTTGCTTATATTTAGGATGAACATAATTATTGCTGGACTGCATGGGCCCCCCCTAGCGGCTGGGCCCCAGAAAACGTTCCCCTTTATCCCCCCTTATGGACGGCCCTGGTGGGGGTAAATTGTTTTGCAGCCCGTGTAACAAAATTTTAGACCACAAAAGAAAGTCTACCATCGACTATCATCTAAGCGGGAGCAAACACCTCAGGCAAACAGACCTGTGGAATCAGAGGAAACGCAAGCAGCTAACCATGTCGGAGATGGCTTCAAGGATGACGGCCGCTGGACATGATCGAAATGAAGTAAGTAAAAATGATTCTTGTGTTGTTTTATATTGCTGTGTGGTATGACGATTTAACTGTCAAATCACTAAAGATTTGTTATTTGTTATTTAAATGGCTATGTAGACAGTTGTGATATGTGAATCTGGACAGTTTTGATTGGGCAGTAGGCTACGGCAAACTTATTAACGCATTTAACATGATTGAATGACATCACAAAAAGTATGATATGCTTGATGGTACTAAAAATAATTATTAAAAGCGCAGTATACCACGAATGAGAACTAATTTCAGCCAGTCGAGTGACACTGACAGTCTGTCTCTGACTGAGTGACTGCAGTGTGTGTGTGTGAACTGGCAAATGTGGTTTACAAGGACAAAATGTCAGGTTACTCACCAGCATTACGAGGACACTTGGGTTTATGAGGACATCTCAGTGTCCTCATAAACCTTAGGCTATATATGTTATTTTGAAGCATAAATAGATGATTATATGGAGGATTTATGATGACATCTCAGTGTCCTCATAGACCTTAGGCCATATATGTTATTTTGAAGCATAAATAGATAACCATATGGAGTTTTAAGCATTTTCAAAAAATGACCTTACAAACCATGTTGTGTATGTGTAAATTGTTCCCGCAAACCAGGTTATTATTTGTATGTTTTTTTTTTTTTTTTCACCAGCCATCATAGTCACAAAATAAAATAATAAAATAACATCATCACTACTCGGCCGTTCTAAAAAAATAAGAACGGCCGAGTTCTTATTTTTTTAAAGGTCCAAAAAAAAAAAAAAACTCTAAATGAAAAGTATGTTACAGTACACTCAAAGAAGTTGTGCAACTGCAAACTCAAAGTCAGTGAGAGATTCATTCTGCCTTAGCATCATGTCTTCATGTTGGGTCTGACCTGAGTCAAGTCAAGTCCCCTTTATATCTATAGTGCTTTATGCAATGGAGATTGTTTCAAAGCAACTTTTCAAGTGATGACAGGAAAATGATGATCAGTAATGCAAATACTTCATTTCAGCTGTACAGCAGCTTAAAAAGAAAATACTGTCATTGTTCAGCTGAAGTCAGATCCGTGTTAATTTAGTTCCATTGCTAAGATCATCAATTATTACATAAAATAGTTTATTTTATCTATAAATGCAGTTCAGCAGAAAACAGTGATGTCATCATCCAGGGGTGAGTTTCCCAAAAGCATCGTTAGCCAACTATGGTCACAAGTTCCGTCGTTATCAGCATAGATCAACGAGTCAGTGTTTCCCGAAACTATCGCCGTAACAGTCGTGACTAGCAAGTTGACTTCTTCAAAAATGCATCGTACTATGGTAGTGAACCAGCAAATTCTGTCATATTATGGGAAAAGCATCCCTGCTCAATTCAGTTCTCATCCAATAGTGTCAGTGCAGTCAGATAAATAATATTGCTGAATAATATTGAATATTGTTGAGGACATCACAGGCATCCAGTCTTGACAACATTCTCCACACCTGCTCTTCCTCCTCATCCACCACCTCTTACACACACTCTTCCTCGTCTCCCTCTCAGATTGTTTCCATCATTCAGCGCACCCTTGCCAACTGTGCACTCTGAACTGGCCTATATTTCGTACAGTTGGTTTGATCACATCATTAGAAACAAGTGTGAACAATTTTTGAGTCGTTGTGTGTAAAGGATGACAACTGTGTTTTAGTTGTGTTTAACTTTTGCCGCTGATGTTTTCCATTTTGCAACACAGCGAGAAATGTGTGTTAGTGATTTAGAATGTGTTTAGAGTTTTGCAAAAAGAGTGCATGAGATTTGCAAACAGCGATTTAACTACCTGAACTTGTTTAATGTTTTACAGAAAGAGTGATTTATTTCACAAATTGATTTAAGCTATTGAGAATTTGGTTCAGAGTTACAAGAAAGTTTTTTCATTGTATTTCATGATTATACATAGATTCCTTAAAATGATTGAGATGTTAAATATATTCTTCTCAAATATATTACTGACAAAATAAATATATGGTCACAGCTTGAAACCTGATTTGGTATTCATTTATCAAAAACTGAACATGTTGTTTTAAAAGATTTAGTAACATAGGC